ATGGACCGGAAACCCCGACCTTTCCGACCATGATCAACAGCCTGTCCGCAGCGCGGAGCCGAAACTAGTCTTTCCGCCCGCCGCACACAAAAGTAGACTGAAGACTAGGCCTCGCCAGCTACCAAACCTGCTATTTTATATTATTATTATTATTATTATTTTTACAAATTAATATGTATAATTAGTCTACTCTGTAATATATCACACATACTTAAATATCTAAATGTTCTATTCTCATTCGTCTGTAAGAAAACATTTTTCTGTAGACCAAATAAATAAATAAATAAAATAGATTTTGGGGATAATGTATTTGGGGATTTTTTTGAAACTGGGGATTTTGTATTTGGGGATTCTGTTTTCGGGGATTTCGTGGCTCTCCCCAGTTGTACACATTTTTAAACTACTAAGGGCTATATTACAGCGGCTCCGCTGGCTTGGTCATGTCGTTCGAATGGACACCGACGCTCCAGCTCTGAAAGTATTCAACTCGGAACCCGCTGGTGGTAGCAGAGGAAGAGGGAGGCCCCCACTGCGATGGAAAGATCAGGTGGAGAAGGACTTGGCTTCACTTGGCGTTTCCAATTGGCGTCAGTTGGCACAGAGGAGAAACGACTGGCGTGCTTTGCTAAACTCGGCCAAAATCGCTTAGGCGGTTACAGCGCCAAAAAAGAAGAAGAAGAGAAGGGCTATATTAGTAATGCAGATATAATTTTTTTAATTTGGAAACTTATATGAACCTAAAGAATCTTTTAATTCAAAAACGTTTTTCCTACAATTTTCTGGATCTAATGAAGAATCAATATGAATATTCTTATGACCGAACAATGCGTGTTCTCTCCATTCGTTATCAAGATTTTGCAAGTTCAAAGTATGTTGAAAATATAACGATGGAATTAAAAAAATTATTGATAACATTTTGAATATTTAGCATCAAATGCAGATGTGCTTAAGAGTGAAAAATACCACAGAAGCAGCTTAACAAACCAAGCGAAATATCCCTTTGCTTGAAGCTATTTATGTTGTGTATAGAAGTGCTTGAAGGTGTGCCAAGCCATTTGAGGGAAATGTGAACAAAAATTAAAATTTTTTGATTGTATGGCCGCCATGTTGACGTTTGATCAAACCGCTTACGTTGTGTATGGTGAAATCGCCTCATTCGCAACGGAATTTTCACCGAATGAGGACGCAAGAAAAAAATCTAAACCAAACTTTTTTATTATTACCTTCCTTTTGTTAGCTCGGGATGTAACTATGTAATATTGATGCGCCTAAAAGATGCAGCGATTTCTATTCTCAAGTTACATACCTGATGACAGTACGAATGGCAATTATAATAGGGAGGTTTTAGTTTTTTAAACTATAATTTTATTGCATTGTGAACCGAAAGAAAATCAAAATTCTTTGCTTGAACGAGTCATGTTTGCATGGTGTATGGCGAAATCGGAAAATTAGGTTCGAATAGTGTTTGACAAGCCGATCGTGAGGTGTATTTCCCCTTTTTATAAAACTTCGGAAAGCTTTTTGTTAAAAAATTTGCAGGGCGATTTTACAACTCTGTTGTGTAAAACATGGATGCATTTGTTATCTGCAATATATCGAGAGAAAATTTCTCAAAAATTCCTCAAAATAAAAATCCTCAGAAAACACTGCACTGGTAGTGCACATGGTAGTGCAGAGTCGAACCAGTCGGAAGCATAATAGCGAGAAACTACGAAAGAGGGTGCCCATAATTCACGCAAGTGACTACTTTAGTAACTCCCGGTAGTTCAGAGAGAGCCGGTGGTGACTATCGCCTAGGATAGGGATGCCCAAATCTACACATATGTGTCGCGGGCGACTGCGCGTGCAAAGCTTTGCACAGCGGTGCTGGGCAAGCGAGGAGCAAAAAGTTATCGGAAGGGGAAAACGAAGTCAACAGAATAGTGAGATTGTATGTGTGACAGTGATGTAAAATGAGTGTTTTTGAGTATTAAGTAATGAGTATTTTTTTTACATTTAATCGTATGTGCTTAAACTGATAAATGATATAAACATAGAAACGCAAGCAGAAGAATCTCGCTTCCACATTCTGCATATGCGCTTAACATTTTTGCTTAAACAAATTTGTCAAAATTTCATCTCTAAAGCAAATATTAAATATCATTTAATATATACTTTAGATTTAAATAACCATTTTTAGTGGTGGGCGAGTCCGAGTTGTTTAAATGATCGAGATAGTACATTCAATTCGTGTTGATTTTTGAGAACTTTTTTCGTTGAAGGTGTTGCACTTTTTTTCCGTACTGAAATTTGTGTACATCATTTATCATTGTCTAAGAAAAACTATAAAATAAAGTTTAATTTAAAATATTGGAATAAAAAACAGCAACGCTACACGCGCATTCATCCATATAACATAAAATGCGAACGTTCGTTATATGAAAGAAAGTGCGCAACACCGCAAACAGAAAAATTCAAAAAATCAATGGTATTTTCTAGACACTTCAAACTTGCACCTTATTATACTAGAATGAATGGACTACAAAATTGTTAAACCAAAACATGTCTACAAATTCTGAACAAAAACTGAAAATTTGATGAAACTTTGTTGATTTTTTCATTCTTTCACGTTTCGACTTATTTGCAAGGGTTTTGTTTGATAATGAGCTACAATTTTATAAAAAAAATAATTAAAATTATTTGAAAAAATAAAATAAATACCGGGTGACCGTGTAATTTTGTCAAAGATTGATGATAAAACATTAATACACTATATAGGTCAGTTCATATTAATGAACACAAAATGAGATCACTATAGATAAAATGGAAATCCTCAAGGGAAATTTATAATTTCAACGCATGGAATTTACATATATTTTCTTACTTTCAACCCCCGAATTGCTCAATTACTTCTATTTCGGCAGGATCGCCATGCATTTCCAAAGATTTTTTCAAAATAAATAGCGATGAGGGATACTTCACCCGCCGGTGATAAGAAATCGCAATCACCATAACGCACATCACTAATATTACTGTTCACAATCACGTTTACATTCAAAATTACAATTCATATTTTCGTTTGTACTTAAAATCGGCAAATTGTACTTTTGTACATTTTAAAATTAATTGTACTGAAAAAAGTACAATTGTACTTAAAATATCAACACTGTTTCACTGGCGCTGTACTTGCTGCAGCGATGCCAGATTTGAGCGTACCCAATTTTTTACCGATAATAACTCATGCGAGGGATTAGGAAGTATACATATCTGTATTCGTATAGAATAGTAGCTTATGGCGGAAGACTGGCTTTAGTATAATGAACCATTCGCAGCATACGATGGCGAAAGACTCACTGGCGCCGAGTCGTTGAAGAACTCTTGGAAAATAAACGTAAAAGACGGTAATGTAAATGCTAGCAAGTCAATATTCGTATAAAGGTTCATAAAAAAATTCCTTGTGGTTTAAAGAATTAGGAAATGGTACATTTTACTAAAGCCAGCCTCCCGACATAAGCTACTATTTCATACGAACACAAATATATTCGTCCACAAATAATCGGCCCTATTCCCGTTGGCGTTGTCGTTTTAAAACGAAATAAAAACGACAAGTTGGCATCACCGTTGGCGTTATCGAAGTTTATCGGAAATATATCGGTATTCTCCATTTTGAAACGAGATAGGAACGCCATAGAAACATTCGTCTACTGTCGTCCGCATTTTTTAGAACGAAAGCGAAAGGATTGCGATTTTAATAAAGTTAAAATGAAAATTACTACCGTGCAGCAATTTGAGGTTTTAGTTTCCGAAATGGAAAAGAATCCCGCGTACGCCAAAGGTTTTAGGAAGGGCACAAAACCTCTTAACTTCAACAGTTTTTGGAACGTGGTTGCGGAAAAAGTAAATCCTTTTGGACCTCCAGTTCGTGATGGAGAAGGTTGGCATAAAGTAAGTAAAATTATGTTAACAGTAAATATTACTTAAAACTAACGATTCTACAATTCTACTAAAGGTATGGAAGGACTTGAAATTCAAGGTAAAGAAAAAACTGGTCAACAACAAAACCGAAGCGAGAGCAACAGGAGGAGGAGCCAATAGACAAATGCAACTGTCTCCACTGGAAGAAGCGGTGGCAAATTTGTTGCAGTTTGAGCAGCTAATAAACCCCAAAGGGAGTGAGTTGGGTTTGGTTGAAGAAACCGAAATTGATGAGTTGCTTAACCTTGATGAAACGACTGCGAGTTCTCAAGTACAGGCAAATGCAGAAAACGCCGAAGAATACGTCATCGAAGAATATGTGGAAGATGAAACACCCACAGTTTCAACAAGAGTGCGGTCCTCAAGAAGCACAAAACCTGCAGAAAAAGAAAGAATTGAGCTGTTGAGGAAGCAGACCGAAATACGGGAAGTGCAGTGCGACCATTTACAGTCCATTAAGGGATACATGAAAGATGTTTCCAGATACCAAAGAAAAAGGCATGAGATAGAAGAAGAACGCCTAAAAATTTACAAAAGGAAAGTGCGTAAAGAAGAAGAGCTTTTGGAGCTGGATGCTGCAATAAAAAGAAAGAAGCTTGAGTTATTGGAGAAACAATTAAGTTCCAATATCTAATTTATTTCATTTGAATTTTTATTTATTTTTTATGAAGTGTTTTTTCTTTTTTTACTTTAAGTATGTATTAAAAAATATAACTTAAAAAAAAAATTAAAAAATATAACTTATAAAGACAAATTGCTTTTAATCACATCTCTTATTCTGGAAGCCTCTGAGCTACTGCCTGCCTCATTTTCATTAATAATGGCAGAATTTTCTGCTTCTTCGAAAGGCGTTTGTAGATCATCTTCAGGAAAGTAAGTATTGTAGTGAAGACAAATATTGTGGAGAGCAGCACAAGCGTTTACGATTTTAGTAATTTTTTGGGGATCATAGTGTAACTCGCGCGCTCCAAGAAAGCAGCGAAATCGCGATTTCAGTACTCCAATCACTCGCTCAACAATATTTCTGGCTTTGGAATGAACGGAATTGTAGCGGCTTTCCGCACTGTGTTCAGTCGCTGATCTATAAGGTGTCATTAGAAATGGTTCTAATGGGTAACCCGCATCGCCTAAAAACTTGTATGTAAAACTCATTTCAATATTAATTGTAATTTCATACCAAGAATCCACGAATTACGTTCACCAGCTTCATATTTTTCCTCTAAAAACCTTCTTACTCGGCTGGTATTCCAAATTAAGGAATCGTGTCCAGAGCCTGGATGTCTGGCGTCTACGTATCTTATACGCATTTTATGATCGCAGATCTAATACAAAAAAGAATAAATAGTTAGTAATCACTTCCATAAATTACATTCATTCAAGTATTTACAATCATTGCATTTACGCTAAAGAAACCTTTTCTGTTGTAGTACAAATGTTGAGAGCTTTTGCAGGGACCAATTATTTTAATATGCGTTCCGTCTACACAGCCAATGATTCCAGGAAAACCAGTTCGTTCAAAAAAACTTCGCTTGCACTCCATCTCCTCATCTTCCGACATTTGGAACGTAACCCAGTTTTTGCAAATTGTAGTTTCCATCGCGTCTAACACCTCGGATAAAATTTTGCTTACCGTGGGTTGGGCCAACGACAAATTAAAGTCATTTCCAACGCTAAGCTGATATGACCCTTGCGCAAAAAAACGCAAAGCAGTTGCCAGTTTTATTGTTGGCGTAATAGCAGACTTTCGCGTGTTGCGTTTTAGTTTCGGGCGGATTTGCTCTAGGACGTATTGAAACGCAGCTTTGTTCAGTCTAAAGGTGTTCACAAATCTAAAAAATATGCACATATGTACATGTACGTATATATATAAATAATTTACTCAAATACATTTTCTTACATTGTATCTGGAAGTGTTAGTACATTTATGCTATGCCGTAATCTCCTGCGATGTTTATTTATGTTGTTCATTTCATTGTCCTCACTTGAACTTGAAAAATAAAATTCCGTACTCGCCATTCTTTTGTTTTTCGTTAGTATAACAAAATTCAAAATTCAGTGACAAAAGTAACAACGCAAAACATTGCAGCGCTACCATACTTTATTAATTTTAATTTTTTGTTTTCGATAACTTTTCTCCGTCGTTTCAATATACTTCAAGAATGCGAATTTAGGAACGAAGCGACGATAAAAACGACAACGACATAGAAACGATTATTATAACGACAACGCCAACGGGAATAGGGCCGAATGTTGATTATTTTAATTAAGTCCTAAGATAAGTTTGTAAATCTTATCAGTATTCTATGTAAGAACCAAAAATCAATACCCTCGCCAATTTGAACTTTTGCTTTAAAAGAAAAATAGATATACATAGCGCATTTACTCAATACTTGGTCTGGCATCACTGTTTGAGCATTGATGTGATCAGCTCACTGTTGCCAAGGTCGTGCATTTTGCACTAAATTTAGTGCTTTTGGGAAACCAAAAAGCCAAAATAATTGGAATTCAATGCTTGGTGCGGTATTTAGTGATGCTTTTTTAATTTAAGCACACCGAATGCATAGGTACATATGTATGTATGTATCACAGCGCACGGCAGTGCGCGCGAGTGACGAAAGCGGCAACAGTAGCATGCTGAAATGACTCGCTTATATATACAAGAGACTTGGGAGTTTTTATCCAGACGTCCAATCGACATGTGTTATACCGTTGGAAAGGTCTTGCAGAGTGTGTCCAGAAAATATATTCAAGCTTCGTAAACGATTAACCGGATTCTCAAAAATTAGGCTAAAGTGTTGCGAAACAAAAAACGTGTTTTTGCTTTTGCTGGTTTAAGGGGGCATGTGGGCACACCCAACATATCTAGTGTTATTCTATAGGCCAATGTACTGTCAAAAAGGAGGGTAAATATATATACTGATAGCCAGGCGGCAATCAGGGCGCTGGGATCGCTAATGGTGTGCTCAAAACTGGTTGGGGAATGCCTGACCTCTCTCTCAACTGCCTCGGAGTACTTCCAGATCAAGCTAATTTGGGTCCCGGGGCACAGTGATATCGCGGGAAATTGCAGGGCTGATGAACTGGCCAGGCAAGGCACCCTTGAGGCCATCACCTCGGACAGGGAGGGCATTGGAGTTCCGTTGGCAACCTGCGGCCTGCTTTTGGACAGATGGGCTCATGGTCGGCTCAGCGAGCGCTGGGAAAAAACCCCGACTTGCAGAGTTGCAAGGTCCTTCTGGCCGGTTGTGGACCGCGGGCGGTCAAGGGAACTGCTGCAGCTGGCTAAGCGTCAGCTCTCGATTTTCACAGGGGTACTGACCGGACACTGTCCAATGGGAACCCACGCGGTGCGACTCAATATCGTCACGGATCCCTACTGCGCCAGTTGCCTGGAAGACGAGGTGGAATCATCTCAGCACTTCCTACTCAACTGCCCGGCATTCGCTAGATTACGGTTTAAGCATCTCGGTGCGCATTTCATCGACACTCCCGAGGGACTCTCCGGAGTGGACATCAGCTGTTTGAAGAACTTCATTATGAGCACCCAGCGCTTCTCGTAATTTTTACGCAGTTACCGTTCCTATGTAATGTGGTATCACAATGGACAATCAAATGTCTAAGTGAGTCCCCTTTGCGGGTCTGCCACCTTAACCTAACCTAACCTATAGGCCAATACCTTTCAAACGATAGCTTATATATTAAGTTCCGGCCACTACTTCGAAGATATAGAGGTAAATGTGTTTTTGTTCGTGTCTCCACTACGAGATGCTTTGATATGTATGTGGCGTCTGTACGTACCATCAAATAATTTTTTTCAAACTTTCAGGAATTAAAGTACATAAAAAACTACGAAGGTTTTGTTCCAGGATGTTTTGATTCGTATGCCTGTGTGGTCGTGGCTGCTGCCTGTAATTCGAAAAAAGGCAATTTTTTAAACTACCACTGAGGCCGCACTACTCAGTCCATGCCATTGATCTGGATATCAGTAGAAGGGTCTTCAAACAAGCTATCTAACGCTATCTTTTGTGATTATAAAATATAAATATGCCTTAACGTTATCGCCTCAAAACTAAAAGTCGGGCTACTGAAAATAGAGATTTCGGGCATTTTCTCAAAACCTGGTCAGTCGATTTTATTCTAAGTTTCCACAAGTCTAGCCCAAAATCTTAGCTTTCATCTGGTGTATAGCTTATATCTGGGAAAACTCTTGTTGTGGAGATATTGCTATTCAAATTGAAAAAATGTCGCTCCAAAAAGGGTCAAATGGTTAAAAATTAACCTATCCGTCTAACTTGGTTACTTTAAGATATAAAAATAACATACCCAGTTCCCCGAAAAAAATCGCCCATTCCCCGATTGCCACTTAAACCGAAATTCCCTGCAAATCGGGGAATTTCCCGCGAGTTGACAAGTTGAAGGATGCAGCTGTGCTAATCACTTCGTACATGTCTTGGAATCCACAATTTGTGTGTATTTTAGAGTTTTTTTCAGTCACATGCCGAAATTGTAACATTCTTCCCTATTTTAATTGCAGGTATGTACACAGTATTTAACTATGCTACATGGGTTTATCACCCGCACTTAACCTACCTGATATTTACCTATAGTTGTACATAAATATGTATGTATGAATGCATTTAGTTCACCCAATGTGCCGCTAATACTTACATACATATGTATAAATTGCCACTGAGCAAAACTACTTGAGAAAAAATCATTGGTTTAATAGCACGAGTGCAACACCGTACACGTGATAGAAGTAAAACTTCTAAAAAAAAAAAGCACATGTGTGTGCCCCACACCCAGTAGAAATCTTAACAACAATTAGACTACGAGGCAATCAGACGAATACAGTTGTTTATTGTATACAAAGTTGGTACCAAGTTGATAAGTTTTTATCATTTCCCTTTTTTTTAATATTGTCGAATACATATCATCCTTGATATCATCATATCCTTGATCATCCTTTTTCGCTTTATTCGGTATTCGAAAAACTATGTGTTTCAATGGACACATCGATTTGAATACATAATTTAGATTTAGAGAATATTTTTAGCAATTTATTTGAGAAAAATAAAACATTTAGTTTATTGTTTGTATTTTCGTCGATTTTTGATTTGCTACCTCAAAATAATTGATATCAAATAAAACACCTCTTTGAGATAAAATTTTCGAGTGACGAAAGCTGAACTAGAAACACAAAATTTATGATATCAATTTCGGGACGAAAATTATACGCATTTTTTAACTGCCTTTCAAACGTACGGAAAATCTTTTTTTATTTATTCGGAACGTTGCGAATTTCCGTTTACTGCTAGAAAACAGAACTTTTGCAACGATTCGTATGAATAAAAAAAGATTTTCCGTACGTTTGAAAGGCAGTTAAAAAATGCGTATAATTTTCGTCCCGAAATTGATATCATAAATTTTGTGTTTCTAGTTCAGCTTTCGTCACTTGAAAATTTTACCTCAAAGAGGTGTTTTATTTGATACACTATACACTAATATTCCACATTTAGTTGGAATTCATTTACTGAATAAATCGTGAGGAATAGGTAAATTAAATATGTTTTGCGTTGTTATAAATGTATTGAAATTAATTTATTAATAAAAACGTGAGCAAATGGATATGTATATACACTTTTTACTGAATCAAAAAAATTATTAAACATGATAATAAAAACTTGGCGCTTTTGTTTTGGAAAAATTTGTATTTTTCTAGTGGCCTGATGCCACTGGCTCAGTTGCCGCAAAAGTACACATACATACATATATGTAATACTTCTATATTGGTAGTAAGCTAACATCTCAAATATGTATACGATGCCATCTCCGTACAGCTCACTTCACCTCGCCTAGCACGCTCGCGTGCGCGCAGTTTGCCCGCGACGTCGACTGCGTGCACCTCTGCTGTGCATCCCTAGCCTAGGACATTGGCTTGTAAAAGTAATCGCTGAAATACACTGCAAGTAGTCGGTCAGTAATTGACGGAGTTTACCAGGTAGTTAGAGATTTATCAGTCCTGTAGTCGCTCCCCCGTACTGCAGGGTTGCTTTCATACGCTCACTATTTTTTTACCAAAACACCCACACTTTGCAAATTGCCTATCAGCTTGAAAGCACTTTTTCTTTTAAGACGATAGGGAATTTTTCGTTCAATGTCAACTACTGATCGATCATAGCTTTGGGAAGTGAGTTTTTGTTTGCATGAAATTGTGTGTTTAATAATATATGGAATAAACAAAGAAAACTCATGTGTGTGAGCGAAGTGAAAGTAATTTTTTGGACGTATAACAGAAAATTAAGCAAGCATATTTTAATGCTCAATTTGGTTGAATTTTGAAAAAATTTTGCCTACCAAAAGCTTCGCCAAAGGAACAAACAATCAAAGGAAAATGAAGCTACCAATTTTGGTCCAATTGGACCAAAACGGCAACGCTGATGGTAACTCTTGAACCCCCTCTTTATGCCGAGAGCTCCAACAGCTTTCTGTGTGAGACAACTCCAGGGGAGTTGTGATGTATCAAGGAGGATTGTTGAGCATGATTTGGGGTGCCAGCAATTAAATACTTTCGTAGGTTTTGCTCTGCGGCAGTTGAGAATTGCATGCGCATAAATAATTTCCAATATGAAATTTTTGCACACACGTCGATTTTAGATCGTAAACGATCTGGTAAACTTACGAACCAAGAAATGCAACCTTGCAGAGTGCCAGCCGATTTGTTTACAATTTAATTTTTCATTTCTGTGCTAACGAAGTACGTCCTGAAGCCTTTTTATCTAATTAAACGTTCAACGAAATGAATGAGGTAAGAACTAACCTTGATGAATGTTTTGTTTATGCATTTCACGGCAAATAACTTTCTATTTTAGCTTTTGCAATCACAGAAGGAAAGGAAGAGAGACAATCCGGTCCATCGCT